TCATATGTACAATAGTAATCAAACGTTACATACATCAATTATGGAGTTGATTTGAGTGTCCATAGGCTCAGAAGAAGAAATTTCCGTTGTGTTTTGCTCAAGCAACTTATAGTTGGCAAGAAGGGTCAACAACGATTCATTGGTGACCAACGGGAACGGGAATGCCGTTGAGGTGGGGTTAATAGCCACGGGTGCCGCGATCAGAGAAGCGGCTACTGCAGCATTCGCCGCAAAATTCGCTGTATCTGGCGGTGAACTTGTGCCTGCTGGTGATTGCGGTGGAAAGAGCAGAGGTCCGCGTAGAAGATCTGGTGATGATCCGAATGGATTCAGATTTGACGGTGAGTAAGATGATCCGTCCGAAGATGTTGGAGAAGTTAGTAAAGATTGCGGCACTTGCTGCTTGAGTTGATTATCTAAAAGAGAAAAATTGAGAAGAGGTTGAAAGATGCAAAGTAGTGTCATTAAAATAGCAGTAGAATAGGTTTTACAGATTTAAGGTATAAAAAGCTGTATAAAGAGGTATTAGTAGAGTATTTGAGTAGGAAACAGTTATAATATATTCCTGTGTGGTCTAAAATGCATCATAGTTAAAGGAAGCTCGTCGTGTGGGAAACGCAAAAGAAAAACTTCTAACCTACTGCTTAATTCTAAATTCTAGTGATACTGAAAATTTTCTAAAGATTCCGTCTTTTTTGTGTGATACAGCTCTTTATGAGGCTTTCAAAATTATCAAGCATCGTAAGTTACAAATTTGCGGACCTTTTAAAAACAATTCTTGGCTAGCGCAAAAACCATCCTTACAAACTCTCAGTGACGCTGCTATTATTTTCATTAGAGTTCCCTCCTTTACCAAATTATCCATATTTTCTTCGAAAACCATGTCTGCATCGGTCAGCGTGTCTAAAATTGTTCTATTTTTTCTCATAAGTTCCGCACTTTTTGCAAATGTGCATGAGCAGCAGCAGACAAGAAAAAAATGCAGCAGGAAGTGCACTAGTTTTTTTCTTCTTTCCTTTTCTCGATGCTGCATAGACCGAAGGTGAGCATTGAGGTCTATGAGCTCTTTTTTTTGCGACGACTTACAACTATCGCTACTATGTTTGCTTCTTTGCTTCTCAAATGAATATTTGTCCATACTGAATACGGCTGGGGGATGGAATGACAGCTAGAGAAACTTGCGAAAATATTGACGAAAACACGAGCAGATCGTATGTCACTGACATGTTACGGACATTCATAAGAGGAGAAACATGAATGTTGTCAAAGAATAGAACCAGGGTCGTTTCACGGATGTTCAAAACATGCTCAGTTAGCTTTAAACGCTTTAAGATTTAAATTTTAATGGACACTTTTTGGATGTCCAAAAAAGTGATACTTTTGATTAACACCTAGTATACTAAATTTTCTGCAAGCTTAGTTCCCTAAAGAATGC